AGTGTATATGTGAAAGTATTATGTAATATAAATTCTATTGACTTAGAAATGGTAGGTCTACTTTAGGCCATGTTCCTTGTTTGGTTATGGACTTAAGGCAGACCTATTATGTTCGAAAATCTATTCAGTCTTAATTACATACAACTTGTATACATCAAATGAATCTAGAAGAACCTGGTACGGAATACATTATACAAATTCATTACAAGTGTTGCTATACACGAAATTGGCGATTGTTTACTTATAATACTAGACTTTTATTATAAATCGCTTAATACTATAAAAAAACATGTTTACATTCTTTATATGCTTCTTACCTCGAAATTATCATATATACATTATGGTAGGGTATCACCCGCACGGAGATCCCTACTTCCCTGATAAGGGGAATAATGGTTGGGGTAAGGATGATCTTGAAGTGGATCCCGAAGAGGACGAGGATGCAGAGAAGATGAGTGAGGATTCCGATGAGGAGCCCGAGGTCTACAACCTACCTCCTGTCCTCGTTCCTAGAAACCACTTTCAGGGCCCGATGTTACAGTGGGCCAAGGACATATGGTCATGGAGCCGAGAACAAGATCAAAGCCCTCTTTTCGGTATGGACAGGAATTTCTACAACCTCGAAGGAGGAAGTTCTGCTGACAAGGTCCTCCGTGTCATAATACGCTGCATCTCTCGCCAGATTGATCAATCACGAATACCATCCAACCGAATTGTCGAAGCTAACGCTATTTCCATAGTTAACGCCGTTAATCTTCATCGCCTGGGCGGAGATCATGATCATACTACAAACCAAACTGAGAGGCTTCAAAAATAGATGGTTGTTGCTCAAGCCGAAATTAGAGCACTTTGGGAGCATCAAACTACACTAGAGAAGCGTTATATGGGAAAAGATCACCATGGTACAAAATCCATTGCCCATAACCGTACTCGCTGCACGTAGTGTTTACAAATTTACACTACTTTTATTTTGATATAAAATAGGATCTCGGATATGTATACTTCTTTTATATATATGTAAAACTCCACCATGCGATTAAGTGAATACACTACTCGTAGGTTGTAATGTTGTCAAATATTCCCTTATGTAGATATAATATAGATCTATATCAAGGTTAAATATTTCCAACTGTATGTACAAAAATCTGTATCAAATGACAAGCATTTTATTTCATTAGGAGTTAGCATAATTTTCATATAATTTTGATTACTCTTGGTAAATCAATAATTATTTAGTGTATATATGAAAGTATTATGTAATTAAAATTCTATTGATCTAGAAATGGTAGGTCCGCTTTAGGACATGTTCCTTGTTTGGTTGTGTACTTAAGGCATACCCATTATGTTCGAAAATCTATTCAATCTAAATTACATACAACTTGTATACATCAAATGAATGTAGAAGAACCTAGTACGGAATACATTATACAAATTCATTACAACTGTTGCTATAGACGAAATTGGCGATTGTTTATTTATATTAGTAGTCTTTTAGTGTAAATCGCTTAATACTATAAAACAACATGTTTACATTCTTTCTATGCTTCTTACCTCTAAATTCTCATATATATACATTATTATAGGGTATCACACGCACGGAGAACCCTACTTCCATGATAAGGGGAATAATGGGTGGGTTGAAGATGCTCCTCAAGGGATCTCGAGGAGGACGAGGACGAAGAGGAGATGAGTGAGGATTCTGATGAGGAGCCCAAGGTCTATACCCCACCTCCTGTCCCTGTTCCTAGACAATACTTTCAGGGACCAACACTCTAATGGGCCGAGGAATTAAGGTCATGGAGCTGAGAACAAGGTTGACACCCTCCTTTCGATATGAACAAGAATTTCTACAACCTCGAAGGAGGAAGTACTACCGAAAGGGCCCTCCGTGTCATAATACGCTGCGTCTCTCACTAGATTAATCAATCACGAATATAAATCAACCAAATTCTAGAAGCTAACGCCACTTCCCAAGTTAACGCAATTAAGCTTCGTCGTCTAGACAGACATCATGATCATACTAGAAACCACACTGAGATGCTTCAAAAAGATATGGTTGATGCTCAAGCTGAAATTAGAGCACTTCGGGAGCATCAAACTACACTAGAGAGGCGTTAGATGGGAAAAGAGCACGATGTTACAGACTCCATTTCCCAGAACCGTATTCGCCGCAAGTAGTGTTTACACTACATTTATTTTGATATAAACTAGGATCGCGGATATGTATACTAATTTTATCTATATGTAAAAATCCCCCCTGTGATTAAATGAATACACTACTCATAGGTTGTAATGCTCTCAAATTTTCCATTATGTAGATATAATATAGATCTATATCAAGGTTAAATATCTCCAACTTTATATATATATATATATATATATATATATATATATATATATATATATATATATATATTATATATATATATATATATATATATATATACACACAAAAATATATATCAAATGAAAAGCATTTTATATCATTAAGAGTTAGCATAATTTTCATATCATTTTGATTACTCATGTTAAATCTATAATTATTTAGTGTATATATGAAAGTATTATGTAAATAAAATTCTATTGACCTAGAAATGGTAAGTCCGCTGTAGGACATGTTCCTTGTTTGGTTGTGGACTTAAGGCAGACCTATTATTTTCGAAAGTTTATTCAATCTTGATTATATACAACTTGTATACATCAAATGAATGTAGAAGAATCTAGTACGGAATACATTATACAAATTTATTAAAAGTGTTGCTATATACGAAATTGGCGATTGTTTACTTATATTAGTAGACTTTTATTGTAAATCGCTTAATAGAACACTATAACAGTCAGGAAATAATGCAATTAGAATTAAGATATGTATTATTCAATAGCAACTTACTCATGATCACTATAGAGTACTTATCACCTTTTTTCTTAAATCATTATAGATAAAGATGCCTCCATGGAAGTCCAATAGAAAGAACAACAATCCACCAAATCCACCACCTCCGCCACCTACTCAGTATGATACTACTGTGTTCCAAGCAGTAGTAACTGCCGCCATGGCAACAAAAATGACGAAGATCAATGCC